TCTGGGCACTCTGGGCAATCTATGTTTAGCCCCGGTCCTCCGGGTGGCCTAGGGTCTCCAGCCGACATCAGAGGCAGGTCCGGCTATGTTGGACAGGCAGCCCCGCCCCTTGGACCTCACGGGCGGCCAGGAGCTCCGACTACCCCCAATTCTCTACCCCCCAAAACTACAAAAGCCCCGTCTAATGACTTCTTTGAAGAGCTGCCTATCAGCTTGCCTAAGCGGCCCGCAAGCGGAGCATCGATGAGCAAGTACACACCCGGGGGACGCACTCCAACCACAGGCACACCGATGGCCCCCCCTGCCTCTACCCCAGGGATGGGCCGCAGCCCTAGCTATACTGGCCCTCCATCACGGCCCACGTCCGTCGAACCTGCATATGGCTCGCCACCCGTTGGATCTCTCGGAACAAGGCAACCGTACGGGTCATCCCCGGCTTTAGCACATTCCCCACTAGCTCATGCTTCATCAGCTTATGCCGTCCCACCTGGGCCAACGACTCCCCACTATGCACCAAAGCCATCACCTACTGCTGGGTTATATGCATCCCCACCCAGTGCGACTCGCGGGACGTCTCCATACGCCCAGCGCCCAACTGCACCCCCTTCGGCGCCGGCAAGAACGTCTAGTATGTCGGGTGATGGAAGATATGCCCCAACTCATGGACAAGACAACGTTGGACTAGGCCTCTCCGACCCGGAAGGCCTGCCAAACGGACATTCACCATCCGCAAGACCTCCTTCGAGGGATAGACCAGGAACAATGGATAGCATGAAAGCCCACGCTCTTGGTGGAGTGGCAGAGGAAGATGAGGAAGGGAATGTGCCAGCACGGTCTTCGTTTGATACAGGCCATCCTCCACCAGTATCTGGCCTCAACCGATATAATCCCAATAATCGAAAGACTCCCCCTCCGCCTGCAATGAACCCTGCATTGTCCCATCTCACATCGCCTCCCCAGAGGTCTCAATCTCCGGGCAAATATACGCCAGCCGGCTACCAGACTCATACAGCTACATCATCTCTTAGCTCCTCAATACTCTCGCCCACAGACATGCCAAACGGGTTTGCACCCCCAAAACGTTCGGCCACCCAATCCCCAGGCTTTGCCGCTTTTAGATCCCAAAATATGCATGGAATCCAACGCCCTAGTTCTGCCGCCGCGCATGCCACCAATTACACGAACACTTATTCACCAATTGACGCCCGACGCCCTTCGTTTCCCGTTCAATCATATCCAACGGCACCGGCCCCCCCACCGCAGAACTTTATGGCACCTCCGCCTGGAAGCATCGAAGCCAGTGATCCGCTCGAAAGATGGAAAGGCGCACCTTTGTTTTGCTGGGGTTTTGGTGGAAACATTGTTACCATGTTCCCAGTTCATACAAGCAGGTGGAATGCGGAAACAGGTCAACAGATGATCAAGACATCATTGGGTGAGGTTAGAAACCGAGCAGCAAAGGATGTTCTCAAGGGAGACGATTTCTACGACGACCTTGCTAAATTTCCTGGCCCAGTATTCGGTGGTCGGACCGGAGGCAAGGCGAGGAAGAAGGAAATTTCTTCATGGATGGAAACGAAAATATTGAAACTCGAGGGCGAGTATACAAGATTTAGGGATCCAAGGAGCATGGAGAAGGTTATATTATGGAAAATCGTGAAGCTATGTTTAGAGAATGATGGGATGTTGGTCGGAAAGAAAGAAGTCAAAGACGCAGTTCGACAAATTATCAGCCCGGAGAGCGAGGCGCTTGAACTACCTCGTCCAAAAAACGCGCTTCAGCAATCAAGTGTCTTTGATAGTAATGCTTTGGAGGCGATCCGCACTCATCTCATGAAAGGTGACAGAGATGCCGCGGTCTGGTTTGCGATCGAGAACAGACAGTGGGCCCATGCAATTTTGATTTCCTCGACCACGTCGCCTGAATTATATAAGCGGACTGTTCAAGAATTTGTGAAACAGGAAGTCAAAAGTAGTGATGGAACTGAACGGCCCGGCATGCAAAGTTTGGCTGTTTTATACGAGGTCTTCGCAGGAAATTGGGAGGAATCGATTGATGATCTTGTGCCCGCGAGCACTAGAATGGGGATGACAATGATCAACACGACCGGGGGCCAGAACACGAATCCCTTGGAGGGCTTGGAGAAATGGAGGGAAACCTTGGGTCTCATGTTAGGCAACCGAAGTAACAACGATATTCAAGCTATTGCCAAGCTTGGATCGTTACTGGAGAGCTATAACCGAGTCGAGGCCGCGCATGTTTGGTACGTTAATGAATCCTTCCAAATCCCCCTTTCTTGGCTAACCAAATATGTAGCTATCTGTTCTCAATGCCAGCTGCTATTTTCTCTGGAGCAGAGGATTCAAGCAAGAGCATTTTCTCCTTACTTGGCGCTAATCACGTCAACAACCCTTTCCATTATGGCCGAGACCTCGATGCTATCATTTTGTCAGAAATCTTTGAATATGCCCTCTCACTTATGCCTGGCGCTCCGACACTGACAAATTTCCCCCATCTATTGCCGTTTAAACTACATCATGCTCAAGTACTCGCACAGTATGGCTTCAGGAATGAAGCACAAAAATACACAGAGGCGATTTCAGCATCCTTCAAAATTAGTGGCCGGCCGCAACCCTACCTTCATGGGTTACTTCTGGAGGGCATCAACGAGCTCGCTCAGCGCCTTAGTCAAGCGCCTCGAGACAGTAGCGGTGGATCCCTTCTTAGCAATTTACCAGGTCTTGGAGTCTCCAGAGGCGGTATACTAATTGGCATGCAAGGAATGCTCGACGCCCTTGTCAATGGTGGGGACCAGCAAGATGCTCCCGCGCCTGCTAGTATCAATGGTGGCACTGGAGCGCCTACGCATGGAGCCATAGTAGAAGGCCAGTTCGCAAGTCCACCACCTACGTCAGGTTTGGATAGAACACACAGCGGACCAGACCTATATGGTATCGGATCCGGTGGGTACACGCCTTATAATCCTGCCCAACCACCTCTGGGTGTAACACCAGTTGGAGCAGTTAAAACAGCATCCGCCGCCGCGAGTAGGTATGCACCTAAAGCTTCAGGCGCTGGACCCTATACACCTCATGCTCCGACCTCAGCACCGCCAACTTCCGAACCCGCAACACCTGGGTACGGCGGCTATGGGGGATATGACTCGAACGCTAGTTACGGAGGGTATGGTTATGAGCCAAGCCCGCAACCTACACCTCAACAGACACCTCAACAACATACGGAAAAGCCGAGTGAAGCAGCTAACGGGTATGGCGGGTATCAGCCATCATCAATGCCACAAGCAGCAGTTCCAATGTCGCCCCCCTCTTTCGATTCTAGCTCCACCTCTTTCAACTCTCAAGCCCCATTGACAACAAATGATACCGCAGCACCCACCAACACGGGCGGGTATGAGGCACCAGGTTATGGATATGAACCTCCCACGACAGAGTTCCAACCATACGTCCCATCACCTGATAATTCGGACGACGAAAGTAACGCCAAGAAGCAAAAGAAAAAAGGGAGTACAATGGATCATGGTGATGATAGCTTTGGAGCCGCAGGAAGTTCCGCAACCGATTCTTCTGCAGCCGCGAAAAAGAAGAAGGAAGAGGAAGAGGAAGAAAATAGAAAGATGGTCGCTGCAATCGCACAAAAAGAGAAGGAGGAGGAAGAGAAACGTAAGAGTAAGTCACTCGCTTCAGTTCTCCACGCAGACTTGAACTTTCAGCTAACATATTCTCAAAGAAGAAGCGAAATCCGGCGGTTGGTTCGGTGGTTGGTTCGGTGGCAAGAAAGACCCCAATTCTCCTGTAGTCCATAAGGCAAAACTTGGAGACGAGAGTTCTTTCTACTTTGACCCCGAAACAAAGAGGTGGGTTAATAAGAAGGCAGGATCAACGACTGATTCCGCCGGGATAACCCCCAGCGGAACACCACCACCTCCAAAGAGACTCGGCTCTCCTGCAATAATTGGAGGACCTCCAAGTAGACCCCCAAGCGGTCCACCCTCAGGTCTTGGTACTCCACGGCCCGGAACAAGCAGTAGCATAGACAGCGGAAATTTAGGCAGCATTCCGAGGCCACCACCCTCAGCACCACCTACAAGTGCACCAACAAGCGCACCATCCAGTGGACTTGCACCACCAACTCCAAGCGCGCTTGCAGGTAGTAGAGATCCAAGCCCCAGCAGGCCGCCCCCAAGACCGGCTACCACTGGTAAAATCGATGACATGGAGGAACTCCTTAGCGGGGGAGGAGGTGCACGTAAACCGGCGGCAAAAGCAAAGGGAAGGAAGCGATATGTGGAAGTTCTTTAGATACATTGGAATCCCTGATCTTTTTTCTTTTTCCTTTTAGTTCAACCTTGAGCTTTCAGAAGCCATGATGTGGAACAACCGATTCTGTATTACGTACGATATTATTCTTGGGTTTTTCGTTGTTGTTTTTGTTTTTCACGCTCTACGATATCATTGACGAGAGAGAGAGATTCCTGCCAGCTTTTTTACGGCACCCGAGTTTTTTCTTGATGTAAAACTTATAAGGCATCCACTATCGGGAAATGCCTTCGTGGTCTTCAATTTTTTTAGCATGTAACACTGTGATGAAGATAGAAATAAATGGACAAAGCCGATCAATACAGGTGGGCGAGCTCCAGCTCCCGCAATTGTCATGGATCGGTATTCAGTATTTCACGGTACAAGATACTTAGTTCTCGCAATCCCTATATCATGATGGGACTCTATCCCCCTAAATATTCCAAGAAAATATGAAGCCCAATTAAATCTCGCTCTAGACTCCTTATGGTTACTACTGATAGATTCATCCAAAAGAGATATATATATTCATAGGCTTGGCTACTACTAATCTAATATGCTGAAGTGAAGTCAGCATACGATAATCCACACACTACATGTATCAACGGCCCCCCCCAAAAAAGACTCAGGTTACCGGTCAAAAAAGATGGAAGACAAAAAGATAATCGAGCTATCTGCTCGCACGGCCCCGATAGGAGTCGAACCTATACTGCCCCGATTAAAAGTCGGCAAATGTATATGGGAAGTGCATCCAATTACACTACGGGTCCTTCGCTGTTGATTCTGGTTAACATCTCGTCCGTTATAAACTGGATAGGGTACCGAATCCGGTAGTAGTTAAGTCGCCCCACCCAAGCTAGAGGAATGCACGCCAGAAAGTCTGCCATGGTGGAAGCAATTTCTAACAAAAACCAGGCATGCCTAGTGTATATCAGAATGATTCAATACGGAAAGTCTATGAGGGTGGTGAAAGGCCTTTTTTTCTTACTTATAAACGCGGGGTAATTATCTGATGCCACCGGTCCATATGTTGTTAATTACTTGGTTAACTAACTCTGACAGAACTGATGTTGTCGATTGTCAACGCCTATGCATACGGAGCATTGATCTATCAACTCAGCAAGATCTTTTTTATTAAAGAATAAGAGACAATTCCTTTGTTCACTTCAGTAGACATCTGCATCCAATGGCTACAATAGACACTGCGTGTATTCGATCTGGGAATGAATGCGAGGTTGCCCAATACCTTCGGGATCTCTCTCGCAAAGGGGACGTCGAAAATACCACACAACAACTCATTGATGCTGTCGGGAGGGGTTCCATTCCACCTTCAACTTTGAAGATATGGTTGAGCATATCACACGGGCCAGCTGTATTGAAGAAGGCCTTACAGCAACAAACTTCTGTTCGGATTCGGAAGATTGCTATCGAGCAACTCGAAAAACTACTTAAGTCTCGGAATTGGAAAGAAACTTGGGATGGCTTCGGGGCCGTCGAAGGGTTCACACATCTCTTCCAAAGTCTTTCTGCTTCTGATGTTCAAGACATATGTCACGCAATCGGCTCCAGCACAAAAGGGGAAGATTCCGAGAAGAGAGAAGCTATCACAGATCTCTTCAAAACACTTGAAACTCAGACTCTGGACACACGTCCGCTCGCCGAATGCTACCAGTATTTACTACCGGGGTGTACGAAGAGTCAGGTCGCAAAGGTGGTGGATACACCGACGCAAGAAAATAACCACCGAAAGCAAGACCTCCTCTTACGGAATCACCCCTATGTTCTACGAGATAATCTTCTCAAGATGGTCCTTGATTTCGATGGGCCGGATCGCCCATGGCTCTTTGCATTGTTGCAGAACTATCCAGCTACCCCTGCTGCTGCCAGACCACACCTATCTTCATCAATGGAATTTGCTTTAGAGGTACTCCGAAGTCTAGTAAAGGATGACCAGGTTCCTCAGATCTCCGATGAAGCCTTTGTACTTGAAGTCTCACAACCCCTACTTATTCGATGCCTTAAAAGGGGCGTGGCTGTGGAAACCCTCAAAGAAGTTGTCGGCTTGACAACTAAATATATTCAACGCCATCCATCAGTGGTAAGGGTTCTTCAACTTCCTAAGGCCTACTATTGGGATGAAAGTAAGGAAAAAGCGAAATTCATCGAAATTCTTGCAGATTCCTGGTTACGAATGCCCGAGATTTTTGAGGACTTGTTCCGTTTGGTCATGAGGACATTGAAACTGGATCGATATTCCCAGGAGGTATCGATCACCGCTTTCAACGCGCTTCTAAAGAAGTCGGCATTAAAATTCCGATATGAGCTCTTGAAGTTCTGTATTCGGTTCTCTACTTTGAAGAAGGACGAAATCGAGATTAGTTTCGACGAGGCTTTGGCTAGAACTAAGAGTGACCTCGGTTCCGACACCAACCCGGAATTGAAGCCTGAGGAATTCCTAGATCTCTTAAAGCGCTTGCGTAAAGCGAAAAACGATAAAGTTTGCAACCGAGTCTACATTGGTTCCTCCGCCGGCTTGTTCTCACTTGGGACGGGAGAGTCTACAGAGCACGATTCTTACCTCGATGTAGACCTGGACCTATGGCAAGTTTATTACCTTCAGCAGGCCTCGCAACAGGAAGAAGCGGAGAAACTTGCGAGGCTGCGGATCGCAGAACGTAAAAAAGCGCAATCAACACCAGATGAACAATATCGTCTTCTTCATGCGAAAGGTGTCGTGTACTACGCCATCGCTAGTGGATCTCTATCAATATTGGCCGACGCCGTCAATTGGACGAGACGCCTGATTCGAGATCCCAACATCTCCATATTCAAAGAGACACCAGAAACAATCTACAAAGTATTATCCGGGCTACCGTCATCGATCGGCAATGACGCATCAGTGCTTCGTACCCGAGTTAAGGAGGCGAACCGGATAATGAGCGACCTCTGCGATATAGTATCTTCTGGCTTGAAAGATCCAGCATTTGAGATCAGTAATTGGAGAGAAGCTTTTGAGTTTCCCCACCGGGTCATATATGAACGCGTCCTACGTTCGGCTGAGTTCAAGGAGTACTTTTCCGATGAAGATATTTACAGCATTTTGTGGGAAGATACTCTGAAACTTCTCATAGACCTAGAGCAAAAGGTCATCGATAATGTTCAGATGCGAGATGCTGACGAACATTACTATCAGACGGGGCTTCGTGATTTCAGGTATCAGTATGGATCTTCTCGAAAGGCCAATAGCGCAAAAGCTCATCCGTCAGTATATCGTTTCTTCGATACGCTAGCCAAAGAACGTAACGAACTTTGGAAAAAACATCGAATCTCAAAATGCCCCGAAGTTGCAAATTTAGCAGAACCATTCCCACAGGGCCTCCCAGTACAATACCTCATTCCCTTTATCCTATTGCCCTCTCCTCCCCCAGAGGACTTGATTCCTTATATCTCACTGCGCGCCAAAGCTGCCGTTTTTCCTCCAGCAGAGGTATCTAGAACGGTCATCTCCACGAAAGGTGACTTCTCAAGTACAGACCCTCTTCACTATATTGTCGAAGATTACCAATACGCTCTGAATCTATATCTTTGCAATGATATTGCTGAGCAGGAGAGGCGAAAGCGCTTCAACGCTGCATGGGCTCATGCTATTGGTCCTTTGAGCGAAGGTCGCATGACCAACGAACAGGCGGTGCGATACTGGCGTCCTAGTTTCAGCAGTGCCATATTTAATCCGGAGCAGTCGGATAATCCATGGCATTCGGCCGTATATCTTAGCAGCAAGAGCCTACCGGAAGAAGAGAAAGGTATCTTCAAAAAAGATATCGAGTGGCTCCAAAGTCTGACAATGGATGCAAAGCCAGAACCTCTAAGAATCCCATTTCCAGATGACGCAACCAGCATCCTGGATTGGGACGCCACTCCAGAACACAAGGCTAAAGTCGACCCTCAAGAGCTTCCCGAACTGACTTATATCGACATTTCAAAAGACAGTTCTGTCCAGCGTCGCCTTGAGAAGTACATTGAAAGTCGTGACAAGGATCATCTTGGTGATATCTCAAACCCCAAAGTACCAGGGAGGACTTACTGGTATAATTCAATCTGGACTCAATCCGGTGATCAAAAAGCCAAGTCTTCATTCCAGGCACAGGAAGCCCAAATCTTATCCGCTCTGCTATATCTTCAGACGAAAACTCAAGTGTCGGATCAACTCCTGCCTTCTCCCTTCCCATCTGCTGACGATATCCGATATCCAGCCAGCCAGTTGAGCACAGCCTGCCTATCAAAATTAAATGTAGCAGAAGAAAAAGCAACATCATCCACAAGAAGACGTAGAGGTGGTGGACGAGAGCGTCCCAAAACGACAAAGGGATTAAAGCCAAATGCAAAAACCGCAATCAGAGCTCTTGAGGCCCAGCTTAGCTTTGTGCCTCCCGCCCTTATTCTCAAGCTAGCGGAGGATGCGCTCTCTAGCCTTGGCTCCGTAGACCGAGATGATCCAAATACCGACTTCCCGGCTCTTGAGGCTTTGGCGTATAATCTTCTGAGAATTTTGGCGAGAAGCGATAGGCCTAACTTGGCACTAAAGCCAGCAATCGGGATCATTTCGAAATATCCTGCCGCTTGCTTCTGGTTCAAGACCGTCTTTTCGCAGGGATTCTTCCGTGATCTCACCCCGCAAGAGGCTAACGATGGAATGACAAAATTCTCAGAAACGGTCTCCTCGTTGTTAGACCGCATGGAGACAGCTAAGGAGTCTAAGAAGACAAAGCCTACAGATGAAAAGCCTTCAGCCGAAGAAACAGACACCGGGGCGAAAGACCAAGACCCTGAGATAGAAAACCCCGAGGCATCAGTAGAAGAACCAGAGTCCGAAGTGCCAAAAGCGGAACCTGGGTTCGTCAAAGTATCGACTATCAAACTACTCGTAGAGCTCTTTGAGGATGCAGACTTTCTACCAAAGGAATCACCACTCTCAAACATTCACACTTTGGCTAAGATAACTTCAAATAGCGATATCTATCGGACCGTTATATACTACTTGACACGGGTTCTCAAATCCCCTCAACCTCTAGACCCGGAGTTTTTCTCAATTCTATTAACTCTTGCCGCCAAAAACTCTGAAGTCGACATCTACAGGCTGATGCTCCAATTGGTTAACTTTGGCCTCAAATCATCGAAGTTTGACACAAAACACCAGTCTCTTGCGGTCTCAGTAATCTCGAGCATATACGAAAAGTCAACCGATGTAGAGATAACAAAGCAAATACTCGAATTTTTCACACTGGCGCTCGACACACCGCTCTCAAAAGATACTGCGACACAGGCCCTCTTCCTATCTATGGTGTTGAAAATTTCAAAAGGAACTCTGGACTCCAAACTTCGAGATGATCTAGTAGTCTACCTTCTCCGCTTACTCAAGATGTCTACATCCGAGGGCTATGATCAAATCCTAGACGTCCTCAAAGAACTCGTGTCCAACTGTGGGAACATCAATGAGACCGAACCGGTCACGGAGGCTCAATGGAAGACCTTCGAGGAAACCCTTGAACTACCAAATTGCGATATCCAGACCAATATTAGCGATGCAAGCAATCCATTACTCCAGAAACTCATCAAATTCCACAAGGAAAGTCGAAAATTCGAATCTTTGAACTTGAACACCAGCTTCATAGAAAAGATCATGATCCCTATCATCAAAGAACTCAATTCCCAATGTTCCAAATATCTTTCCATCTTCCTTCGGCAAAATGGTATCAGCAGCACCGATCAG